ACGATCTATACATTTTGTGTGTGATGATCTATTAACGTCATCATTAAGTGAATAGTAATTCAACAAAGTACAGATTAGCATATAAACTGGCTTTATTGTGGTAGAATTAATACAATTATAAACACCTAGATATAATAGTGAAATTCAAATACAAGGATACTTCATAAAACGCAAACAAATAAATCTAACATATGTAAACCTTATAGTACTAAAAAGTAAAGATTTTAACATGTCTGATCTAAACTCACAAGATAGTTTGAACACTCTTCACTAAGATCGATACTCAACTATGATTTTGTGATTTGTGTGTATCCTATAAAAAATTAACAGAATGTCAGATATTATTATTATTGCTCCCTTGGGTTCCAAATGGAACATAGGGCTTCAACTGCACGTCTCCACTTGCTTCTGTCTTCTGCTGTACTTTTGTTATGTACTAGTCGCCGAATTATTGTTATGTACTGGTCGAGAATTTAATAGTCCTGACGCAAGAAGGCGGAAATCAGAAGACCACTAGGTTTACGATGATACTTCTATTTTCCAAACACAAGGAGAATGCAATAGTGGTATCACACCAAAAAGTAAGTGTCACAAGGTTGTGAGAGCGAAATATATATGACCGTCCAGACAAGTGTGTGAACAAATCAATGGACAGTCTCAACATGAATGGCTAATATAATGAAGTATCGATCCATATATACAGCAGACATGTCAACAACCACACATAGTATGGATATCTGTCACCAAGCAACGGACTGTCAACAAACACTCATATTGTATATAATATAAGGGGAATATACATTGTTAAAGGAGACAGGTTCATCAAAGTGAAATGGTCACAGACTAAGCGAGCAAACAGAAAGAGAGATCACCATACACACATATGTATGTGGATACATATCACCTATCCTTTTGAGAAGATTGATGATTAGTAGGATGTTTTCCTGGGGGTTCATCTGGAACCTTTGAGCTTGTTGTTGACGTCTGTCGTTTCGTCTGACTTGGGTTTGCGGCTTCGGCTTCGTCCGGAATTGTCTGACATTTTATGCTTCTTTGCTGCATTGCATAGCGAATTTAGTGGGACATCAGCCAGATGCAAACGATCGAACCAATCAAGTCCCAAAGATTTAAATCACTCATGGTGACATAGCAAATTCCTGTGAATTTGGTATTGCGAAAGGAAACAGAACATTTGAGTTCACCCATTAGTTTGAGCCGCCCACCACAAGCGCTGAGAAGAGTCTGAGAAGTATTTGCGATTGGTGGTCCACCAATATCATTCCAGAGCTTCTCTGATATAACAGTAATATCAGAGGCGGTATCTAGCTGCAGACGTGTATCATGACCATTCATCTGAAGATCAAGATATTTCCGCATAGCTGGTGTTGTGACTTGACAGGTTGCGCGTAGACTAAATGACTTTTTTGGGGATTTAGGACCAACAGTTTGTCGAGCTTTCGCTGGATTATGACATCTGGGTTTGCGTGGCTGGCAAAAACCATTTCTATGACCGATGATTTTGCACTTGCCGCAACGATGATTTTTGTATGGGCAAGACTTTACAAAGTGCCACGCGCCACAATGCCAGCATGGTGATGGTGGGGTCTTCTTTGCAGTATTTTGTGAAGTTGGACGAGTATGTGTAGATTTCCGCGGAACATTAGAAGAAGGTGGGTTAGGACTGGATGAGGAGAGATTTTTGCTCTTTCGTAATGCACAAATATCAGAGCTTCTCGAAGGTGTTGATTCGACCAGGTGTGTGTCTTTCTGCAGATTAATCAGCCGTTGATATTCATCAGCTGTGTTATGTAATGTTAACTTAGGATTTTGTTCTAGCTGATTGAGCAGTCGAGTTCGGATATCTGTGAAACGAGGAGATTGAAAACTGCATATGAGAATCAAGGCTTTGAATTGATCATCTGTTAAGGACCTGAGTCGAAATCTCTGTCTGTCTGGATTCAACATAGAAATCTCTCACATTCTCGGTTGACTGCGCCAACGTGAGTAAGAAAATCATCATTTTCATTCATTGTCAGCTTGAGGCAACGATATCGTATGCTGAATAATGAGGAGTGGTCTCCAAAATGTTCACGCAGCAGCTTTATTGTATCATTGAAACACTTGTCACGTGGTTTCTGGGGTAAAATTAGGTTGCAGTACCGTTCATACTCTGCGGGACCCAATTTGCGTAACAACACTCGCACCTTCCAAGCATCGTCTTGTGAGGCGAGATCAACAGTGAATAAATCCTCATAATGTTGATACCATGTGTCAAAAGTGACATTAGCATCTGGATTATAATTGAACTGTGAAATACTATTCACAATTCCGTCGACAGATGGTAGCATGGTATGGTTCGGATTGCTTGAAGGTGAAGCTGGACCAGTCTGTTGGTTGACGAACATTTCCACTAATTTCATTTGTCGTTCAATTAATAATTCCAATTTAGAAAGATTCATAGTTTTCCCCGTCGCCAAATTGTTATGTACTCGTCGCCAAATTATTGTTATGTACTGGTCGAGAATTTAATAGTCCTGACGCAAGAAGGCGGAAATCAGAAGACCACTAGGTTTACGATGATACTTCTATTTTCCAAACACAAGGAGAATGCAATAGTGGTATCACACCAAAAAGTAAGTGTCACAAGGTTGTGAGAGCGAAATATATATGACCGTCCAGACAAGTGTGTGAACAAATCAATGGACAGTCTCAACATGAATGGCTAATATAATGAAGTATCGATCCATATATACAGCAGACATGTCAACAACCACACATAGTATGGATATCTGTCACCAAGCAACGGACTGTCAACAAACACTCATATTGTATATAATATAAGGGGAATATACATTGTTAAAGGAGACAGGTTCATCAAAGTGAAATGGTCACAGACTAAGCGAGCAAACAGAAAGAGAGATCACCATACACACATATGTATGTGGATACATATCAGCTTTTCACCTGTATCCATGTTAGTAAATACTCTTTCAACTTCTCTTCACACGATCTCCTCCATGCCACCCTTGGACGTCCCATTCGGCGCTTCCCTTTCGGGTTCCACTCGAGCGATGGTCTGATGCGCGCGCGATGGCACCCAGAGGCCTTTTCAGTTAGCGAGTGTCCTATCCATCTCAATCCAATTTCTCATGCATATTTGTTGGGCGACTGGTTCTTCTTTTGTTTGTTCCCATAGTTTCTTGTTAGTGATTCTTTCCGGCCCGGCCATCTGATCTTCAGTATAGAGCGGATGTCAGATATAATAATAAAAATACTGATACTACTAATAATAATAATGCGAAAAACATAAAGAGAAGAGGGAAGGGAAAGAAAATTGTAAATGCAAAATAAAAGTTATGCTACCGAGTTAGATTTAAGTTAACTGCTCTATTCAAATGAACTATCGTCAAGATTTGACAGAATAGTCCTAAAATATTTGTATCCTTTTACATAGATAGATCCGGCCTCTTCTTTAACCTGATTGTGTAGACTTGGGCAAAACTGCGTGCTTTTTTATTGCTTTGCTTATTAATAACTATAGGGCTTTTACTCAACGTCCGATAAATGCTGTGTGATTGAGCTCCTTAGGATGTCATATGAGACAGTGTTTGGCAACGTGAACAGCCGCCCAATGTATTTATTTGCTTTGAAAAATACATATTTTGTTTTATCGAGGATCGATGACTTATCTTTGCTTGTTGCTCACATTATCTCCATTGTTGTGTTTATTCGTAAAATTGAATTGCTTTGTCCAAGTGACGTCTCACCAGTTGATGAGTAGTAACGTTATTTCTCTTGAAAGGTAACTTTATAGCTGACATAGGGTCAGGTTGGAAAAGAGCCAGTGGTGGTCAAACCAAAACATGGCTTCATCAGTCAGTCAATGAAATCCACAACAGTTAGTTTAAGCCAGCCAGCCAACCAGCCATGTAGGAAGGTGTAGACTTCCTCACTGGTTGGGGTCCTCGGGACGGTAAACACCAGTGGTTGGAGACAACTGGTGATATGGCTCAAACTCATCGTTCTCACTCAATGGCTGGTGCAGATGCATCCACTCCTTGTGACTTACGGTATCCAATGAAACTATATTGTTCTTCGATATTACTATTCTTTTGTCTCATATCCCTGTCGACTGTTTCTATTTTGCATTTCTTTTTACTTTCCTCTCTTGCTTTGTGTGCTACTTGGAGGAAGTGTGGCGACTCGAACTGCTGCACATCGGTGTTAAGTTCTATGCTGAAACTAGTCAGTCAGTCATATAAACCCCTCATCTTAGTCTGTGATATTACTTTTCCTTGACTGTCTTTTGGATATTTATTTATCAATCTTTCTGAATAACTATTTCTCATCAAGAATATCTCTTCGTAGCCGAGTCTGCTCCTCGAACATATCCTTCTTAGTTTATTGAATCATGTTCTAACCAGACTTCTTTTGTATTGGACTGGGACGAAACTGCTGAAAGGCATAAATATACTCTTCTATGTTGGCTTTATATATATATATATATATCAGCTTTTCCTATACACTCATTAAAGACAGTATAGTCTAAATTTGCCAGAAACATATCTTGAAATAGGAGCTCTAATGGGCTTCACATTGCTACGCTCTCTCCTTGAAAATACAGTTCATTATTGAATGTAAATTGTACCCCTCCAGTACAAATATACAGTAACTTTCTCAAACAGTACTTAGGAATAATACACTCATTTGCTACGTCACAAATAAAATCAGTCGTTTCCTTGGCGTGGACACTTGTAGATCATATATTCGTTGAAATCAATACTTATTTATTGTAACAATGTTCATGTATTTGTTTGTATTTAACCTTAAAATGAAATTGTATGAATAACAATGTTTGTAGAGGAGTATTCAGCTGATGAGTCCTTATACCGAAATTTATGAATTCACTAAATACTTTTCTTTCTTCCTAGTTGTTCTAGATAAATGTGTTTAACGTGTATGTATCCAGTTATTGGTGTTTCTGTTCAATTTTATTTCAGTTTAAACTCGTACAATACAGCTTTATTAAGTCGTGGAGATGTCATCTGTCCTCATTGTGAGGGTTTAAAACAACCAAACATCCATATACCGTGTACAGCAGCTGCATGTTATGCATTAATTCGACATGTAAATTTTCCTATAATTGGTTCACGTTGTGTAATTGTTGGTCGTGGTCGTCTTGTTGGTGCACCTACAGCGGAACTATTATCAGGATCGTGTGGAGCAACAATTACTCAGTGTCATTTACATTCAAATAATATAAATGAAGAGGTTATTCGTGGTGATATTGTAATTTCAGCAGTTGGGCATCCAGGATTAATTAAAGGTGAATGGATTAAACCTGGTGCATTAGTAATTGACTGTGGCTATTCGGTGATAAGTGGTGAGTATTTTGACGTCTTTTCCGTAACTATGTCGACAACACTTGAAGAAAATTATATATATATATATATATGTCTTCCCTTACTTTCCCAGTGGAACATAGGGCTTCAAGCCTCCAGCTTGAATTTTCGGAAGCAGTGGTGTTTTATTTATTTACACGATGGGGTTGCTAGCCTCATGCCCAACCTATCCTCTTTACCAGTCTTATTACTGGCTTAGTGAAGTAAGGGAGTGCGTCAGCCGAGGATCGAGCCCCAGACCATATGCGTGGTCGGACGGCATTCTACCGCCGCACCACCGCTAAGAAATTCTTCTTGCATTTACGTCGGTATGGAAATAAGTTCACTTATTAGGACACTGGTGGTATACTTAAAGGTTGTTTCTAGTGGAAGTATGGAACTAAACACTAACCTACCTACATTGGGTTGTTTAAAACACTTTCACTTTCACGTTGTCAAAACACATACTTGCTAAATTATTGGCATCAATAGATGCACCACACAAAATCTCATAGTTTCTCCTTGGACTGTGACACTACCTGGACTCCCAGACCGAAGCGAGTGGTGGTTTTCTTAAGTGTGATGCACAAGGCGGTGGAGTACCAATCGTATGTTCCCCCATAAACAAATCGCGTATGAACGCAGTGATGAACAGGAGAGTTCCGTGTGTTTTTGAAAGTGTGTAGGCGGTTGTTAGAGTTGTTTCTGCATTATTAACTCACCACTGCACGGCATCTGGTGATATACAATATTTGGGGTTGACCTTTTCTAACCCGCCTGCCCATAGTGTAGAGGCAGCGTAGCTGGCATGCTGGTCACCTAAGATAAGACACGTTACTGCTGCTGTTACCTTAGTGTCCACTATTTTATTATTTTTGTTTTTGCACATTCTCATGTAAATAAAAAAATCAAAAGTATAAATCTTTCACTTATTTGTTGGTATAAACTTCGAATGAGCTATGTGCTTTCCAAATGATGAAGTCACCCCTGGTATTTAGATAAAAAATGTATGATGACAGTAGAACTTATGTTGCATATTTAATCTTCTATGTCCGCCATATTTTATACAGCTGTGATTTAATTGACGAATTTTGTAACTGTACTCCTCCTGAAGGACATTAATAACACTAGTGATAATTGTAACAATATTGGTGATAATGGATTGTAGGCTTACGCAGCAAATTTTCAATGAATATTGGATAAAGTGTTATGGCTTCCGTTCTTTAAGGTCTGTTGTTCTCTGCTATCTATCGTTGTACTTTGTTTTTACTCCTCATATTCCTCATCTCTGTTTCGTTAAGACATTCATTGGTGAAATGTCAACTGTTTTAATTTTTCCTGACAAAATTCCGTTGTATTCTGCATGTGCATATTCCTAATTCCTTTTTAATAATTCATACACACGACGAAATCGCTTTTCTGTACTGACTTAAAAAGCCTGCATCAACGATGTGGTACGGCCGATGGTGGGTAGACTTGGATCTTTCTCTCAAAACATTCTCATGTAGCCACGTGCTCACAGCCTGTCAGGTGATTCCTATTCATAACCTTCACGAGGCTGCAGTGTTCCTCACAAAAGTTGAAAGGGCGAATTTGAACGTTTGACGTTTACAACCGGCTTTGTGGACATACTGGTCTACCTAGCTAGGAGGGATCTGGGAAACATTCTGATCCGAAATTATGCGTATGAACCTGTTATGGTGAATATATGAAGTTGCTGCAATACTTAGTGGGTGAGATTCAAAGTCTAAGGTTTGGGAGGGGGTGGACCCCTAAGACAACCATTGTTTCAATAAGGGCAACAGGACAGTATTCCAGCTTTGCGCAAAATGTGAGATTTTGTATAGCACATTTCTTGGTACCTATAGAGTTTGTGGTTTCGTAATAATACTGACTTTAGGGTTTTTCCAAAGGAGAGAATATTCGATATCATCTCTGGCACATTAATTTTTTTGGTGACTATATCTCATCTGTGTGGGAAAGCGGCACCAATATCAACTCTATTCATTCGCATGCTATTTAACCACTCTGTCATGTAACAAGGATATGAATCTGTTCAGAAGCATCACTTTTTGTTTTCTGTTTTGAGAATTCCGAAGAGAAGTGAGACTCAAAATGTTATGCCCTCATCCTAGTTGTTATTTTCTTAAACATATTAATGCATAAAACTGAGATTATTTTCTAAGTTATCTACATTTAGTCATACAAAATGTTCTTGTTTTCTCTCCTCACAGATCCTCAAAATATGAATAAACCACGATGTATTGGTGATGTAGACTTCGCATCAGCTTTAGAAAAGGCTAAATGGATCACACCAGTACCTGGGGGTGTTGGTCCAGTGTCAATTGCTATGTTATTTCGTAATACAGTGAACAGTGCTAAATGGTCTGTAGGCTTAACTAATTCCTGTTGTACATGTTCTACTGATGTAGACGTTTTATCTAAAGAATATATTGATAAGAAAATGTCTGGTTAATGTTGAAATATACATATATATATATCTTTATATAATTGAATACTGACTTTATTCATAACTTTAAATTGACTTCAAAGCAAAGCAAATCAAACGATGCATTGCATAACTTTGCTTCTTTAGTTCCTCACGCATGTAAATAGAATTGTGGTATTTGTGTATTGATTGATTAATTAATTCATTGGTTTATGTATCTGTTTTTATTTACACCTCTGAGTGCATTTCACCTTATGTCAGTCAATACATTGATGTACAAAGGAATGACTATAATGACAACAGTTGACCCCTTGTTTTTATAATTCAAATAGAGAGAGAGAGAAATATAAACTAATTTAAAACGAGTAATTTGGTTTTATTTGTTTGATTTTAAAAATTTGATTGGAAGACATGAAGTTAGTTATTCTACTCCAGATTATTATTATATGTTTAAAAATCATAATAATAATAATATTATTATCATACTCGAAAATCGCTTCCACTTTAAGTTGTTCTGTGTTTCGGTCATCCTTCCAGTTGCTTTTATATTTTCCATTTTGGAATTATACTCTACCACAGTGCACAAGTTCTATTCTTATATCAATAATATTGCACCACCTCATTCTAATAGATATTTAGACTTTAATTCATCTCATCTATTGTCTGTCTGTGAAGGCAGGTTTAGCTGAGTGTCTAACAAACCGAGCAGTAGCACTAAGTAGTACAAGAAAAACTTACATGATGAAATGAAACAGATAGAAGAATAGCTGGTTGGTGTTGAATAACTATGCTATGAAATTCATTAGGAGGATCAGAAAAAGTGAAAAGCAAAATAAAAATAATGATGAAACTAATAATGATAACATAAATGAGAGAGAATATAAGACATCTACAGTCTTATCATATAAGGAGGAGATATCTGAGAGCCCCCCTACGTAGGATTCTTAAATCAGGAATTAGAGTGGTGTTCCAACCTACGAACTCACTCAGGGACAAGCTTTGTAGGCTAAAAGACTTGGTGGACCCAATTAAACAAAATAAAATAATTTGCAAAATATCTTACAATGACTGTGAGTTAACTACATAGGTCTAACTGGTGGTAACGCAGAGACACTCTGTCAGCTGACTAGTTCCAAGTACGGCGAAACATACGTCTCATAGATTCCGCTCTTCGGCATTGTCGAAACTCTTATACTTGTAGGCGAATGAGAATTTCGATTCAATAAAACTAATTAGTGGGGAGTTCAAATTTCGGTGGGTAATTTTCACCAGCATTTCATACTCTGTTTATTAAAGAAGACTATACAGCTAGCACATTTACTTTGAGCGAAAAAGTATTTGTTGTTACTGCAAAGGACATCCGACCTGTAGATCACTTCTATCTGGCTAGTAAGCATTATCGGTTGATGTGAATGCTATACAATAATTACTACTCATCTCACTCAATCAGTAGTGTTCAGTTTCATTGTAGATGACATTTAACTCCTACCTGAGAAGTGAAATGAATTCAACTCCAGTAATCCTGTGAAGTTTATTTTAACTCCAACTACCTGGTTGTTTGTTCAATTACATATGTAGATTTTACGTTGTACGCAATATGTTTAACAATATTTCTCCCAAATGTTTCAATATTTACGCCAGTATTTTCCTTAGTGTGTGGAGTTATACTTATGTCCATGACATTATGATTTTACGTACAGAATTTGGCCAAATTTTCGAATTTACATTCTTAGTAGTATTGTATTTCTGAACCACTTGGGAACCAGAAATGTTTTGTGCTACCTTTCTTCAAAAAAGTATTGATGTGATTGAACTGGTTGATATAGGCTTATGCAGCTGTAAGCTGTTTGTGGAGTTGGTCGATAGAGGAATACCTGCGTAGACTCTGATCACGTGCTAGCCCGCGTAATTGCACGTCTGCAACAAAATGTACATGTAAAGCAGGCAGCTACGAAACCGCCACACCCCCAACTTGACAAGAACACGTTGTCTGAGCTTGTCAGTGATACCCATCCTGAGAAAGCCTAGTGTCATGACTAGTCTACTGTAGGATCAGTGTGAAAGGATGCTGATAACCTGCAACCAAAGGTTAGTAAACGTTAGTTGGTTTCTGTTGCTTCGTCAGAACTGATACGAACATGACGTACAGTCAAAGCTGTTCAAACGTAAGCTGACTAAGAGCTTCTCCAATGATAGTGATGAATAGTAATGGGCGACAAAAGTCAGAGGAATGGAAAAGGAATTGACGGTTGGTAATACCAAACAGCTATTTACACTCACTGGGGACTATTATTAGTTGCTTGCAGTCTGAGTGGAGTGGGCTTAAGAAGTACATGTGGATTGTTTTCTGGTCTCACATCAGCTATAGCAGTCTGACAGCTCACAAGTTTTCATCTACTCTCTACAGGATCACCTCTAGGTCACCTTTGTACGACCAGTTCACCACTTCTCATTCGAATCTGTCGTGTCATGTCATTTAAGTGTCTCCTTCAATATCCTTGATTGGTTTCATCTGTGTCAACCGCTTCCGGAATAGCAATCTTTTCACCTGACATAATGTTGTCATGTCTCTCTTACTTGTAACCTGTCATACTACAATTTGCCAATGTGTCATAAAATTGCTTCTTCTTGTTTAAGATGGCCGTCCACACAAGTTTTCTTCTACATTGCTGTCAGAGAGTGCCAGTGTTTCTCCATTCAGGTTTCGTCAGTGATGTTACCTAATATCTCTGACTTTTCCCCGATAGCTGCAGGGAAGGTGGTATTTATTTTCTGAATGTTGAATTTGAGTTGTGGTCTGTCACCAGCTTCTATGAAAGTCTTCAACTTGATCTTGAAGGCTCTTGGCATTGGACAGCGATCGGAACCTACACCTGCTCCTCTTTTCGACTCTTTATCCGTCTGACTGTATTTCCCTCCTCCTAAATTAGAGACTAAATCTATCTAACATTTGATGACCATCTGGTGAGGTCTAATTCATATAATAAATATAAATATCCTTGTGCGAGTAAATGTTACCGCCAATTACCGAATCGTGAAACTGTCAGAATTTTACAGGGAGTCCTCTGGTTTCATTAGTAACACGGAGAGCCTCTCCACTCATGAAGAGTTATTTTCTGCTCTCAATTTAATATTAATATGACTCACTGAAATTTCGATTTTGCCATCTGACTGGGAACTTGTCCATTTATGTTTTCATCTGTCAGGGAAAGTCCTCTTCCCTTGGTCTGCGTTGTTTTCAGCACCGTATCATTAGATAACTGTCCCTTCCCTACACTTCGAGTCGATTCTTGCTGTGATTATCCTTGAGGAGATTGGTTCCCACTGCGTAAGAGCCTTCGATGGTGTTGGTGACATCTTTGTAGCTAATCTCATGGTTTGTTTGGACGATAGGAATAGATTATTGACGTTCCAATGAACCGTTTGGAGAGTCGACTTACATTCCATCTGCTCTCACGGATTCTCAACACTTCTACCATATTTTCTCATTTCTTCTGTAATGTGGGAAGCTTTGCTAGCTTCAAATATCATTCGGACGTTTCCTATGTCCCTATGGTTACTTCTGCTTTCGCTAAGAGTACATACGTTGGCTTCATGGTTTCGGGAATTCTTCTGTGGTTCAAGGTTTTAGTAGCAATGAGATTTTGCGCTGTAGGAATGCTAGCCCCACTTTCAATCTCTCCATTTTCCGGGTTGAGATTCGGTTGGTAAACTAGGCGAGGTTAGACTCACTGAGCAAGCGTTCTCTAGGAAGCCAGTGGTGAGTGAAAAAGTTTCCGTGAATGGTACTTCAATTACTTTCGAGGATAGACAACTGGAATCCTCGATCTGTAACTGCAATTAAAGTAGCTGTCTCATGTAAACAGAAAACGAAGCAGATCGCGCTGATGGTACGACTCCAGATGTGTTTAAGGATGGTAATGGTGAAATATTGATTGGACTAACTAACATATTACACGATTCGTGGTAATGTGGATCGGTCTTGTTGGACGGGGTTAAATCACTTATTAACTCAGATTGTAAAGATGGAGACAACTCTTCCTGTGATGATAATAATAAGTGTAATAACATTAATAATAGTAACAGTGGAAATGACAACAATAATAATACTGCTGATAATAATAATAATAATCATAGGAGGACTGACTCCACTAACATATTGTCTAAAATTCCAGCTTCAATAATCATGCGTGGACAAAGTCGTGTACGGCAGACACAAATCCATCAAAAGAACACATGCTGTGAAGCTGGACTACGGTGTATTGATCATATCATCATACTGACAGATTCTGTGATATAGGGATATTTCTTAAACTAAAAATACATCAACCTAGATTTGCTGCAGTAATATCCGTCTGTGAAGGAAGTATATCGAGCTATGGCATTCGTGTAAGAGCTTATGAAAATTTGTCATCTGAGGTGATGAATACCGATGGCATCCACCAGGATTACACTATGCTCGCATTTTTGTTTTACTCACTAACACATGTAATAATGGCCTAAGTATTGTCTTTATATCAGGGAACAGTCTCGTCTACTGAGAGTACGCTGACGATATAGCTCTTCCGTGTGAATACGCTGGCAAAATGCAGAGACTTCTGAACACCTTAAGCAGAAATCTTAGGGATTTTGGCATAGTATTTCTTCCTGTTGAATGTACTATACTACTGCCTAAATTCTTATATTTATCTGTTCATGCTCATCCCTTGTTGACATAGATCCCCGTGAAAAGGTGACATGGTAATTTAAAATGCTGATCACTTTCGCTAGTTTAAATCTCACTACAATAGTAATAATGCGCTAAGTGAATTGGAGACTCATTTGCTTACATATCTTCAGGAGGTAACACCTGTACCAAAACACAATTCAAATTATCGCTCCACTTTTTCCATGAGAACTGTGATACTATTAGGACACGAAAGTAAGTGGTTGATTCAATCGACTACTCCATATGGGGGAGAACAACATTTGTGGATATCTGTAGAACTAATCAGTCACATTAGTTACTATCTGGTTGGAGACTAGTA